TCAGGTGTGAGGTTTAATTGATAGAGGTCTTGAGGTGTTTGGGTGTTTGCAGATAATTTGATAACTTTAGAATTGGTAGAAACAGAACAGGGTGAGACTGATAATGTTAATGAATATTCAATGGTATCTATTTAAAATAATACAAATTATTGAATTCTCGCTATAAATCAACTTCCTGTTGACAGTGTTACAACTGCAGCAACGATAAATTAGAAGCTACATGCAGTTTTGGACACACTAAAGAAATATTTGTTATTTTAAAGTGAAATTGTGGAAAAGTTTTATTGGTCTGTGACATGTTAGTAAACTTGATATGGAGATATAATCAGTGTTAAAAAAGCAAGAATTGTGAAGAGAACCATACTTTTCCATTCAGGTCAAAATTGTCTTGCATACGAGAAAGAAACGAACTCGAAAGCATCAGTCAACGAGGATACTAAGACACTGAAAAGAACGTTAAATCAGTGGGTTATTTAAAACTGGATTGAACAAATGCCCAGATTGACTACTTCTTAGAAAAAATATTTTTAGATATCATTTTTTATGCCTGGCTGTTTTAATTGGTCTTATCATTGTGACAGAGGGCGAACTGAAACAAGGATATAAACAAAAATTAATTAAGTAATACGATTTATAAGAATTCATATATCTGGATGTCAATCTATTAGAAGGATTTGGAGCTTCAGATGTAAGAAAATTGATATAAGTGTTGCAACAAGAAGATGAAATAAAAATTGTTTGGATATATACGCAAATCTATAGGATTAAATGATACCTGGTATGTCATATTTTATTTATAATTAGCAGTCCAGTTTTCAAAATTGGTCAAGAAATAGGCTTATTATTGTACCTATAGGGAAAAGGTTGGTGGTGGTGTTTCGGTTGCTGGTGGTGGCATATTGTTGTAGTCTCCAACATTTTCATGGATGGTGTTTGGCATTCAGAGTTTGGCAGTTGGTGTTTGGTGGTCAGCATTTGGCATCTGTAACAAATGGCAGGTGGCATCATTTTGTGTGTTAATGCCATGAATATCTGCATTTCCAGGCAAACAGTAGCAGATTGATTTGAATTTTTGGAGGGTTTTTCCTGGTATGAAAATCTTAATCTGATTTTGTCATTAATTTCAAAACAGGCATTTTTGACAAATATACTATCAGGCACCATATTCATTATTGAATAATGGAGTTTTGGAGAGTTAGGAAATAGGATGCCATATATTTTTACTCCATTCAAGGGAACATTCAGAAATAAATTGAATACCATGATGCCTTCATATTTAGTCCTCAGTCTTAGACACAGCTTCAGAAATTACCCAAAAGTAACTCAGAGCTCTGTTTACTCTGTTGAGTTTTTCTGGGGCTGTCTATAAGACTGTAATGAGGTTGTCATGGCTATCAGTCATCATTTACAGCAATGATCGTCTTGGGAATTGTTATAAAAAGAAAGATTAAAGTATTCTGACACACCCCAGCATTAGGATATTACCCAAATCCTCATGGGATTACCATGAGAAATCTGTCTCTCTCTGTTAATTGTCATAAGTTACCCTTTTTAAGAGGGTAAAATTGTTAGTTATATCCTCTGGATTTCAGGGTAGTTCACCCTGTCTTCGTTCTTTTTAAGAGAAGTATCTTTCACAAGTGTTATATAAAGGGGGTTGGGGTGTTGGTAAATCAGCATTTTTTTCTTTGTGACTTTCCAAATGTAATTGAATAAACTGCCATATTTTCCAGCATCTTTATACATTTTAGATTATTTATTCCATGCCTGTTTAGTTCATAAGTCACTGATTTCAATCAACTAGCTATCACATGTTTACTTTCAAAAAACGTTTTGTTGCATTGATGATTTTGAAATTAAACAGTAAAATATAGTTTTCATATTATCTCAAAGTTCAAAGAAATGCATCATGTTCAAAATTTGGTTTGTGTGACATTTTCTGAGAATTAAAGTAATTATTTCCAATGACTAACTGTTTCATGCCAATCTTACCCATGGAGTCATAAAACAGTTAATGTGGTATTGTCCCATGATAGTTCACTTGATAAACATGGCTCATGCAATATAATCACTGTTTTGTTGATTTGTTGGCCTGTTCTGTCAGAACTCAGGTCTGTAGCCAGTGTTTGTCAAGGGGGCTTCAAAAAATTCTAGGGGGGATGGGGGCAAATCACTTGAAATCACTCAGAATGGTTAAAACTACATGATTTTGAAACCCCTGAACACCCCCTTTCAATGGGCCTGTGAACTTCTGGTCTTCTATTTAAGACTGTTTTGATTGTTAAGTCCTTACATCGAGTCTGTGGACCCTCCCCCTCCGTCCTTTTTGGAGAGATATTTAGTTCTGTTGGGAATTCTACCTTATTTTGATATTTTAGTACATATGGTTTTTTAGAATGGATTCTTCATGTAATCTATCATAATCTATCATTTTGGCATTCATAGTGGATCATGTCATGAGTACAAATAATATTTCTGCGTTACTTGTAAAATACTGAAACCAATAAGAATGGTTAAAAGCATTTCTCTGTTGAACCTGACTCCTCAAGTCTTGCATCAAATCTCTAGAGAATATAAGGAGATGGGAGGGCTTGGAGCAGGACTATGATTCCATTTCCATTTTGCTATGAATTATTTTATTTTTAGTATAATAAACTAGGTTGGAGACCGACTTGACATTTCCCCAGGTCAGTTTGACCAAAATCTTTCTCCTGGAATTGAATTAAAAGAAATGGCAAGAAAATCTACTAAAAAGATCTACTAATCTACTTCGCCCACAAAAAATAAACCTATACGAGAACCTAGCCTGAATAAGCTCATTAAATCAAATAAAAAGTGTTTTTTCCTGCCAAGTTATGTTGACCCAGAATTTCATGATAATCTAAATGATATCTCCAAAAGAAAGGACAATGCTCCTTCAGATAAGAGACACAAAGGAATCCTTTATTGTCTCAAATCCTCAATATTTTAACAAGGTGTTATGTCTGTACGTGTAAATGTTATTTTTTGAGGTAAAGTCCTGCTGATTTTCATTATGGAGTGTTGTTTTCTCAGCAATTTATAATGTTGATTTTGGAATGAGCTTTTTAATAAATGTGGTTAGTCTACCCTGGTTAGAAGATAAACTTTCCCATACAAAATGTGTTCATTGATGCGAAAGTGATGTTTTCCATGTAAATTATGGAGTAAAAAGGAAAACTGAGAATTTACTTTAAATTTTCAAATATTAATGAGATTAATAACATTAATAAAAAGATTGATTACTGAGAAAATCAGTATATTTAATGAAAAATCCAGGATATACAAAAAAATGCCATGGTTTCGTAAGAATTGAAATATTTGTGTTGTGTTCTCATCATTTCTAGGAAAGCAGTAGATCACTCTACAGTCAGAGAAGGTTGTTTGCAAAATGCAAAATAGATTGGAAATGAGTAAAATTAGAGAGAAATAAACTATAGAGGCCTGTATATAAGACTCTAAATTGTATAGAAATCTCAGAAATTTAAATGCTTTAATCAAATTTTAGAGAGAAATTGAATGAAATGGACATGACTAACGTCACCGATAAGTTCTTGCTATGTAATCGTAGATTGATGTGAATGCAAACACGCCTGTTTCAGTAAAATATATGTGATAGAGGGAACTATTTATTACAATGCCCTTTATGATTGTGGAGGTTATGTACTGTGATGTTGCAATAGTGTTGCCATGGCAACATATGTTTGTCTCCTTAAGGAGAAGTCTCTTAGAATGGTACAACTCTAGTTCAAGCACTGTCCCGAGGGTAAGGCTGCCATCCAAAGTTTTTTCCTGCATTTACTAAAATTCTTGTTGAATCAAAGCAAGCCAGTTTGCTCTCTTGAGAACTATTTTCTGGTGCAGTTTAATAAATCACTATACATTTCAACTATTTCAGCATCGTCAATATATCACTGATTTACTTTCTTCACCATCCTTACAAAGAACAAACTGTTCATTATTCGATTGTAAAAGTAACACGTACAAAAGTTCTCGGTTAAGCTACAATTATTCATATTTTTTTAAGTGGAACATTTCCTTTTTTTCAATCAGGACCTATTATATAAATTTTCAATTCTTTCTATAATTTACTTCTGGGACTTTTCAGAGAAAGTCCCCGAAGTATTATTTCACAAATGTCAGGCCCGTAGCCAGGATTTGCCAAGGGGGGGTTCAATTTTCAAAAATTTCCAGGGGGGTTTACATTTGACAATTTTGGCCAAAATTAGGTTAAAATCACTTGAGAAGTGCTCAAAATGGTCAAAAACTGCATGATTTTGAAAGAATTTTTGGCCAGGGGGGGGGGGGTTCGCCCGAACCCTGCGACCCCCCCCCCTGGCTACGGGCCTGAATGTTCTTCTATTTCCTTGGTGAATATAGAGAACTTGTACATTACAATAAGCACAGATTGATGTTTTCGCATTAAATGTTGTAGAAATCACAAAATATTTGGATGTTATTTTGGGATTCTTGCTCAATTAGTTGATCGATCGTCATGATTATTGGTAACTCCTCTGGGACGGGGAACATATAAAGTCATTTTCACCCAAGTAATTGATCTCTCATTTTCACCACTTTGCTTGCAAAGAAATCATAGTATGTTATTTGGTGCCATTAGAGAGATATTGAGCGGTTTGATTGAATTTGCAGTCGTTTACTCAAATGAGTTTGAAGGGTTATATTACTGAACTTGCAAGGTATTAGGCATGGTCTTGTATGAACAGACCTGGTTTGCCAATGTTTAAATATTAGTATACAAAGAGTTGTTTAGAAAGTGATATGAATTTTGAACAATAACATATATTTTTATATAAAACTTCGGAATTAAACTTGTAAAGTTAATAATACAGAATGCAGATATTTGTAAATATTGAAACTAAGGTGAAAGTTCACGGTTGAACTGATATTCAGTCTTGAAATTTATACACATACGAGGATGGAAGAAATTTATTTTGACCAAGATGTTCTTTGTATGTCTTCAGGTTCATCGATACCCACAAGTCGTACAACCAGTGCCGCCAGTTCACGATCTACATCACCTAGCAGCCACTCAGGTATCCCCACCCCTGGGGGACGTAGCGCAAGTAGGTCAAACTCACTAAGTGATAAACATGGGAGTAAGATCGTTCACTCAACGAGCACAAGTTCAGCGAGTTCACTAGCGTCAAACACAAGTGGAAAAGGTGCGACAAAATCCCAGAGTGCAACAGCAGCCGGGAAAAAATCTATGTTGGATAAGTTATTTAATTCAAAAGAACGAGATAAAACAAAAGCCAATGTTAAAACTAAATCGACACCAAAGAGTGATGCGTATAAAGACCCTAGTAAGTCATTAGCAGAAGCGAGGGCTATATCTCATGGAAAGGTTACCACGGCAACAAAAGAATCAAAACCAGGGTTATTTGGTAAAAGTAAACCAGGGTCAAAGGTCAAAGAGGACAAGAACACACCTGGATTGAAAAAGAACTCTCCTAGTGCGGGTCGTAAACCAGCCACAAAAGTAGATCCAAAAAGTGCCCAAGGAAATAGTCCCAGTTCAGTTAGAAAGAGTAAAATCAGTGCCCCTATAAAAGGAGTTCCTGCACAAAGAGGTAATCAACGAACAGTTGCCCAAAATATCAACCAATCAGCTCATAGCGTCGGGCAGCCACCAGGTGGGTCTGGTAGAGGTGTCCCAGGGCAACAAAAATCGACAGGGCTTTCTAGGCCTAATACAGTGAAAGTATCCAATCAGCAAGCTGCTGCGGATAATAGAAAAGCAAGTGCAATATCGGCAAAGGAGGCCAAAGGAGGTACTCCCTTCCAGAAGATTCCACAGACGAATCAATCGAGACCTCTTCCACCTAGTCGTATGCCGACGACTCAACTACAATCTCCACAACAGGAGGTGCATCCTGGGTATAACACCAATAGTCTCTCAAGGTCACAAGGTCAACAGATTGCATCGCCATCTAGTGGTGCCAGTACACCTTCCTCAGGAATCCCGCGAGGGTTTTATAAAGCAGCTCCAAATAGAGCAGGAAATGAGAGTGGAGGAGAACTGAGGCACCCTCAGATCCTGTCACCCACAGGGTCATTGCAGCGTGTCAAATCCCCTTATAACTCCCTTACACGTAGACCACAACCAGCAGCCATTTTGAATAATTCACCTCAATCTGCTACATCACAACCAATCACATCTCAGCGGAGAGATTCAGCTCAAAATAACACTGGACACTCTCAACCAGTCGTAAATTCTCCGACGAATTCAATCTCTCGGCAATCCTCTGGGGGGTCCCCAAAGCAGAATAACTCCCCCCAGAGTGGCTCCCCTCAGCATAGTGGATCATCCCAACAGGGGTCGCCACAGCATGTAGTCTCACCCTCAAATTCACTGAGGAAAACATCCCCGTCAAATTCGCTCCAGCGAAGGATTAAAATGGGTATTAAATATACGGAGAATAATGTAGAACGAGCGTTGCAATCATCCGGCAAGATTAGTAATAGTGCATCCAGTATGAGTGATTCAAATAATTCAACAAGCAGCAAGAGTGGAAACAGTGACCAATCAAATGACAGCGTTATATATCGCCCGTCGGAAACAGAAGATAACATGTCGGGTCTTGAAAGTGACTCAAACATGAGGTCTGTGAATAAACCTGAAAGGAAAATACAGAATACGAATGGCGCTCCAACAGCTGACGATCCTACCTCAAAAATCAAAGACCACATAACAGCATTGAAGGAACAGCGCGAGCGTAAAGCTGCAATGAACAATAAGAATAGTAACGGCCCAAAAGTCGAGACCACATTTGATTCAGAGGTCACTACTGAAAATATCGCAGGTACAAGTTCACCAAAGGAGACAACATTTGAGGTTGAAGAAGATGAGAATTTTGAATTGGACACGATGGATATTAAACCCATGGAGCCCCTTGAGAGATCAACTCCCTATAGTTACCTCCGGGCATTCAGTAAAGATGGCACTGATAATCAGCGCACATTTAATCGCTATAACTTCCCTGGGTCTTCCTCGTATCAACACACTCCCGCTAGTCAAGCCTCGAGTCGAATCGGTGTCAACCGATTACTCGATCCAAACAAGTTTCTGTCAAACTCAATGAAACGGACAACATCGAACTGTCAAAGTGTACAAGAGACCGATTACGGCTCGGATGCAGAAAGTTGCGATATGGCTGGTGGATATGTCAGTGATGGAGATGTCTTGAGGACCAATCGCCAGGATGATTATAGCGGGTATATGAGTGAGGGAGGGGCGTCGTTGTATGCAAGGCGAATGCAACAGAGGTTCAGAGAGGGTATGCAAGCAGTTAGAGAGTGCATGCAGAAGAGCAACCAACTTATTGATAATGACAGGTATGTTCAGTTTACATTTTTGCATTCATTTTTTTCGATACACTATCGCATCAACTTGCTGTGCTATGATTAACCACTTGAATCATCAGGTTCTAAAAAGATATTGAAGCACTTTAGAGTTTTTGTCAGTTTCATGTTTTCCATCTATCATACACACATGCAATGTACGCTGTTTGATTTGGTTGTATTAGTAACCATAGACCAATTATATACTTTTAATGCATAATTTGTAAGAATTGGATAAAATTGTCAAACTTAGAGCAATCACTTTCTAAGAAAACAAATTGGTTTAATTTTTAACAGAAGTCATTCTAGGTATTCAAGAGGGTGGTGTTTTATTTTACATTAACTTAAAGTAAATATATGTCGTAAGATAAACTTTGATCTGTATGTGTTATATCATCTCAAATTGCATAGGAGTTTGGCACCTTTTGTCATTAACATAAATTACTGAACAATTACTCATATACTTTCATTTTCATTTTATAAACATAATGTAACTTAGACTAGTTAGTGTAAATGTATAATCTCTTTTTTCTAGAATTATATTTCAGGAAATCAAACATCTTTCTATTTTAGGTTTGACCATATTTTTATAGGTTTGTTGTTGAAATCTTATGCTTCGTAAGCTGCAAACTCGAGGTAGATGGATATGTTTCAGAAAAAGGGTTTCCAAATATTATGAAATATGTGATTTAGGGCAAGTAGGGTGTATGAGTTCAAGAGTATTCTTTTAACTGTAATGGGACTCTGGTGCCATATGGCTTGATTCTTGCAAACAGATACGGATTTGGAGACTTGGGAGGGGTTTTAGTCCAAGTATCCCATCACTTGGAATGTGCCCAAAACATATTTTGGGCTAATTAATATTTGCAATTAGTTGCCCTGGTTGCTCCCAAGAAATTTTCAATGTCATAGTTCCAAAAAGTCCGAGGAAATTAAAATGATGTGCATCAAAGATTTGAATAGAAATTTGTTGACACCGGACAATTATTTTTTGTTAAAGTAAAACCAGAACTACTACTTTTTATGTTTTCTGTGCCTTATAAACCAGGCCCTTAATTTCAGAAAGTTATTTTTGTAAGGTGTTCGGATTTGAAGTTCCCATGATCCTTGTATATACCCACCCTGAAGGGTCAATTACCAACAAACAGGGGAAATCAGGATACTAGAAAAACAGTTAAAATCTTGGTATATCACTGGCAATGTTTTATTTGAAATATGAGGTCTTTAAAGGTATTTGTCTTACCTCAAGTCCTTGTCCTTATACCCCCTCCCCCTCCGTTTTTTATATCTGGGTAAGAGAGATTATTGGGGGGGGGTTGTGGGAGCTTGAGATTTTGAACTTATGAAGTAGATAGCTAATGGGATGTGGTGAAATTTGTCTATCAGTCTGACCCTTACCTTTGCTAATCAGGCATTTCAGAAAATTAGTTAAACATTATGGTCGTCATCCATTTCTTTTTCTAATTAGAACAAAATTTAAGCCGAATCAGCAAAAATGAAATTAACAAACATAAAGCCCTTACTTTAAGTTGTATAAATATGCCAAAAAATCAAACACCTTATTCAAATTTTAGAGAGAAAAAGCAGAAAATAATGATGACCCAGGTGAGATTTCTGGTCAGGAAGTGATCCTAAAATAGCTGAAGCATGCAGACGGAGATGTTCAGCTGTCAGTAAAGTGATGAAGTGGGTTAAGAGCTTGGTCAGTTTGACAGCATACCCCTGGATGTCTGCTCATGCTTATTTCACTCCATTTCTCTCCAAAATTTGAATAAAGTGTCTGATTATTTTACATTTCTATACAATTTAGAGTGTTCACTACATGCCTGTTTACTTTATTCCTTGCCTAAATCAATCATTTTTACTTTATTTTGAATTTAAAAACTGGACTGTCATTACATTTTATTTTGAAGTAGACTCTTAACCAGCTGTACAACCCCTGGCTGAATTAACAGACTCGTCATATGGTATAAAATGCAAATGAGAGTGGAATTTGATGAAATTGTGAGAAATAAAAAGAGATGAAGTAAATTATTTAAAGAGATCGGTGATTTCATGCAAATTATGTGAGGAAACATGAGAAAATGCTGGGCAGAGATTTAAATTGTCAACTTGAAAGAACACAAAATGGCCAGGATTTACATTGAAAAATTAGAAGGGAAAGATAAATATAATTAACCAGTTAATATTGTTTAAAATGCAAGCAAACCACACATATCCATCAATGCTGCTTGGATGGAGTGAAAATAATTCATTGTCAGACTTGAAATGTTGCTGATGTGCCTAAGAACCTTAATGATGGATCTAAAGAAGGGTACTCTATACTTATGACAAATAGCTGCATTTTGCTTTCATCGGTTTGAATGTTTTGAGGTATTTGTTATGACAGGGGCATCCATGTCTCGAGGGATGGGGTATTTACCTGATGGATTATGTCTGAGGATGTGGTCAAAGGAGGGTTCATGATGACCCCATAATGCCTTGTGTGTCAAGCGATGGGTCATCATGATCAGGTCATTATGACCCATAATGCATTTGTATACCCTAAAGAACACATTTGTTGTATTTAGAACTGAACTTTTTTTACAGATTATTTGAATCTTTGCAGGAAACATGGCCAATTAATCATGGAATTTTCAATAATCATGTATTTTATCATTCTGCTTATCTCATAGAAAATAAATCATGAAATTACAGATTATATTTTCATTCATGAAGCCTTTTCATAAAATTACGATCAAAATAGCTTTTTAATGATAGATCTTATTTTCTAGATTCAGTCCCAATGATGATTATTGATTTTGAATCATGTCAATTTTACTTTTGCAAGCAACTGATAATATTCTTGTTTCACTGTTGTTTTCATCCAAAACATAACTATCATTCAATTTTATCCAACGATAGGTTTACCTTTCTGTGCTTGTATTGAAAAGGAAATTGTGTTTCTAAAATGGTGTAACATAACATTGACTCAAGACAGCATTGTGGAACTGACTTTCAAATCAATAGGTCTCTTTATAGCAAATCACAAAATTTGTATGTGAGGTAGATTGAAGGGAAGGTGGATGATAAAAATTGATTGCTTTATACTGTATAGTACGAGGGGTGATCCAAAAGTCTTGGACGCCCTGCTCTAATTTTGTTGGTTTTTGATAAAATTACTTTAAACTTCCCAATAATAAAGACCAACAACCTAACTACTTTGTGTATTAATTTCATGGTGAAATGATATATTTTATGTAGTTTTCTCGATAGTTGTTAAGATAGTGACCCTGCCACCCGGAACAGTATTCACACATGGCAACTTTCAGCCTTAAATGTTGCCACTATTTGACTTGTTTTGCAAGTCTTGAATACTATCTTTTCTTAAATCTTGAATGTTAAACCATGTTAGTTTACTTCCTTTGTTACTAGGCAACCAATTGTGTTTTTATCATAATGTCACATATGGCAATGGCCGTATATGTCAAGTTCTAAGAAAATGACACCAGACAATCAACCCTCATTCTGGTGTCATTTTTGCTCCAAGATGGCTGCTGAAATGCAGAACATAAAAGAAATCAAAGTGGGACAAAGAATACTACAATATATTTTCACTATTATTGTCATTGAGCAGCTACCATATGCATGATAAAGTCTAGATATGGCTCTATGTGATTTTCTTCCTTTTCTCCAAGTTGAAAGGTGGCTTGAAAGAAAATGTTTTTTAATCATTGGATGAGGTTTAGAGTGACACTCCAGCAGCATTTGTATTACATAGGCAATGGCCGTTTCATAAATGTCTCATACATTGGTAAAGGGGTATGAAAAATGTGTTCAAATTCTTGGAAAATATGTTGAAAAGTAGGTCTTAATATGTCAAGATAATGATGGCAGATGAAACTCAGACTGAAAATCGGAAATTCTCTCATATCATGACTGGTGTTAGGTTGTGCACCTGCACCTAAAGTATTTGTTATATCATAACAGTTGTGATGTGATTTGCAATATTTAAATACCGTTCTGGGTGACAGGGACCCGGTATCAAAAAATATTTAGAAAAGTAGCTAAAATATATTAGTTTCTGTTGAAACGTATACAAAAAGTTGTTCAGATGTTTATCTTTATTATCTGAAAGTTTCATCTAATTTTATTAGAAAATAGAAGTTAGAGCGGGGCGTCCAAGACTTTTGGATCACCCCTCGTACAGCATGCAATTTAGGCTCATCACCGACCTTCTAAAACTTTGTTCATGTTAAGGAAAATAAAACTTTTTATTCATTTAAAGATGGCAGTACATGTTTGATAGAGCATTATATTTGAATTTTACATACTCTAGAAAATAGGTGTCACTCGAGTATATTCAAAATTTTCATCCAATTTTTTGTTTCGTTTGATCTCATCTCCTGTGTTCATTGGGGAAAATACCTCCCAAATAGAAGTTTTGAATTTTATTCAATCAATGCTCTTCATTTCTGACACCCTCATCAAAAGCAATTTTCTCCCCAATTAGATATTGAAGCACAAAATGCATTTACATTTGAATTTCTTTTATTAAGAATATGGGTGCATGTTTGTATAATTCTTGTTAATTTTTGGTATAAAAAATTGATGCACTTATCAATAAGAATGATTATATCTTGTCCAAAAAGTAGTCGAAATAAGACTTGATAATTTGATTAATCGATCTGTTACATGTTACTAAGTACACACTTGTGATATGTTTTCAGATGTTTAAAACTACTTCTTAATTTTTGAAAAAAATATGGATGTGACTTTATGATTCAATAACCATAACCGTAATAAATAAATGTTTATTTTCTGAGCAAAACAAACAAGTGAAAAAGTTGACTCCCGAAGAGACCTCCTTGAATTATAATAGTTTACGGCACATTAAAAAATCATAAAACATAAATGTGTAGACACGGTTTTATCATGTAGAAAATTGGGCTTAATCGGCTGAAAATTACATGTTAAAATAAGGCGAATGTTTACTCCTTTTTGACACCTGGGGT